AATTTATTCAACATGTCTGGAACAAAACGAAAATAACAGTATCCTAAAATATTACCAAATAGATTTATTGCTGATTAATATCAACCGAATTGTGATTTGTATTCTCATCTCAACTTACTGCAAAAACGTCCAGGATGAAAAGTCAGCCACTCAGCATTTAGGAAAGTCCAACAAAAACGGCACACCCTGGTAGTAGACGATTACTGATTTCAGTAACACCAAACTAACTTGAAGGTTCTTTTTTCTATCATTTACGGGTAATCTGCAGAAAAAAAATTAATTAACACTATTAAATAAATAAAACAGGAAATAAAATAGAAACATTTGTTAAAGGAAGTAATTGAAAGTGATGTTCGTAACCAGTATTACACTTAGAAACAAAACTTTTTAATTAAAAAAATAACAAAAATTATTATTTACCATAATTACTAAAAACAAAGAATAGCAAACATAGATCAGTTAGGTACGTACTGTATAATAGATAAAAATAACTCGGTAAATTAAGTGGGAAATATGCGAACAAAATCTCTCGCAACTACACACTACGATAGACAGGCAACATACTGGCAGTAACCAAGCCGATCAGGCTTGCAGGAATTTGCGATTGCTACAGCATGAAGCACCTATGACGCGGAAACCGCCACGCAGAAGCATCAAATGAGCTATTTGCGACGGTTCGCGGCAAACTTTTTGTAATTTAACCAATCGTGTAGCTAGTTTCTGCCCCGCTTCATAAATTCAAATAATTTGAATGTTTTGCTTCGTGAGAGTTCCATCGCCTGATCACAACTCTGAATATAATCAGTTAGAAGAGTGGGAGAGATGACGAAAGATTAGAAAGGAAAGCATGAGAGATAATGAAGGTTTTTGTTCTTACAATCTGAATTACATATGCTCTGAAATAATAATTCATGAGACAAATACTGCCTTTGAAATGAGGAAAAAAATATAAAATTTAATAATAACTATTTTCAGTTTATATATGCTTAGGGTTTCGCTCTAGTTATGATGCAATACAAAATTATTCATAGAGGTTCCTTGTACAACGTTAGGGTGCAATAGAGAAGGAATTTTTCAACATTAAGTCCCTAAAAGGGTGAAAGTATATAGGTTCACAGTTTGTGGTTTACTTCCAACTTTGCATTTCATTTTAGAAATCATTTGACTTAAAATGTGTTCTTTAGTTATCAATTGACCTACATTAGAAGGGGTGAAATTGGATTTGAAAGTTAGCTTATTTAACAAATTAATAAACACCTAACCGAAATTACTGAAATTAGAAAAATAAAATTTAGTCAGTAGATTCACTTTTAGGCGTACCATAACTCTATGAAAATTTTACTGGAATTTCATCCCCTAAGCAGATTAAATCTGTAGAATTGTTGTATGAAACCTTGAAATCTGCGAAGTTATTAGATATGAATAAACGTGTTGTATGGCTTTTTCAAAATGAATCATATGACGTGAAAAAGGGGATGTAGTCCCATGGTTTTTAGGATAAAGACATAAAATTTGGTAGTTAGGTTCTTGTTTAACAATAATGTAAGGAAAAAGGTGATTTTGCAGTTAAGGGAGTGAAAGTAAGGTCAAAATGTTTAATCTATAAAATTTTCGCTGATACCGCATACTCGAGCTAGCCAAAAAGCTTCGAGTAGCAAAGTTAGTGTACGTTCCATCGGAATTACACCAATAAATTCGGTTCGGGATATTTTTTTTTTTAATTTTGTCCAATGCAGAAGTGCTTTGTTGTGCGATAAATGTTTATGAGGATGGTATATTTAAAAGCTGTCTCAAATATTTTGATAACTTTTATTATTGCAAAAATCAGAAGAGAAGTAAAATTTTCTATGAACCCTTGTAGTTAGTATATTGCCAATTTTGATCGTCCTAACTATACATAGATTTGTTACCATTAAACTTTCGTGGGGTGCGTGTACAAAAACTCTTCAAAGTTTCCTAGCAATTGGATGAATGATAAAGGGAGTAGGTACATACCTATATGGTGTAGGGTTGTTAAAAATATGAATTAATTGTTTATTAAAATTTTATTGCTTCATAATATCAGCACACTTATAACTGTTAGGTAAATACTTCTTATAACAATAAATACAACAGCTGGTGTTATTAATTGGCAACAATGTGAAGGTAATAAAATGTAGATAGGTATCTAAACATCGATGTATCGTATGATAAGAATTATTCAAAAATCACTCAATTCTACTACCTTTCGTGCTTTATTGTGCCTATTAAGATAACAACAATCCTGAAACAATCAGAGTCATAATAAGCCCATTATTTTCCACTGGTACCACCAACATAACAAGTTTAAACCAAAAAGCTTTTCGTTATTATTGTTCTTTCGAATAACTTTTGGCATGATCGAATCGCAATATGAACGTTTCAGAATAAAAAAAACGATAGATACTGATGAGTCGACCTTGATTCACTAATGCATAAAGAATTAGGAAACTGATAATCACAGATGTCATTTCCATCAGCTGAATCTGGTCCTATAATATTGCTTCAGCTAGCACAATAGGATTTCAAAATATCAAAACCTCAAACGCATGCCTTATCCATAAAAATTCAAAATCCGAATGGTTTTGGCTTGTTTTGCCTTGAGATCAGAATATTTTGAAAGTTTGATGTGCTAGAGGGGAATTCTGACAAAAAAGATAACAAACTAAATGGACAGGTTTTAAATGTATTTTAATTCGATTCTGAGAATATATTATTACCAAAATGGTTGGTGTAAGTTGATAACGATAAGAATGGAATTATTTATTGGTTAGGTTATGAATAGTTAGGTTAGGTTGGGTTAAATTCATTAGTTAGACCACTTGACTTTACATAGTGATTATTTATATTTAAATATGGATTTAGATAATGATCCCTTTTATGGTTTAATATTCACCAAAAGGGATTAAAATACTTTCAGCACATAAAAGTAGAAAAAAACAGAGATAATGACATTCTCTTCGTTGTTTTGTCTTTTTATACCATGTAAAACTAAAAAGCAAAGGCGTCATTAGCTACCTTCAATACCTATAGCAATGTTATGGTGGTGCTCAGTTATAGTATGGTACTTGGTACCTTTCTGGGCTAGAAAGAGGTTACCAGATAGGTACCCAAATACAGTAGAACCTTGATAACTTAAACCTCGATAACGTTTTCAGTAACACCAAACTAACTTGAAGGTTCTTTTTTCTATCATTTACGGGTAATCTGCAGAAAAAAAAAATTAATTAACACTANCCTCGATAACGTAATAACCTCTATAAATTCATAAAATTTTGTGTTCCCTTCCCCTCGGAGTCCAAAAGTTCTATTACTTAAAATAAAAACCCTCTATAAGTTAAACGAATAATTTGGGCATCGCACCTCAGTAAGCAGTGAAAAGTGGTTTGAATCGGGAGAAAGTCTTCTATGTAAAAGATGAAGAATTGCTGAATTTCCTAATTTGGAAAAATGCTTCTTTACATGGTTTAGACAGTGTAGAAATATGTAAAATCATTAGTGTTAGTGGATCTATACTAAAGGAAAAAGCTGAAGAGTTTGCTAAGTCACTGGAAATCCATAATTTTAAAGCTTAAACTTAAACCATTAGTAAGTAAAAACCTCAACAACTCAAATTATTTTACGTTTCCCTTGGTCTTTATCTTATCGAGGTTCTACTGTATACGCATCGAGATAAATGTTATTTTTTTCATAATATCTTTTTTGGCAACACTCCTCTTACTTACATTACTTATTGACACTTACAATACAATTACATATATTATTCAAATATGCATATGTATATACCATAGGTACTTATAATTATGTATGTGTATATAATAATTAAGTCTCTATTGCATATTAGTGATCTTAATCTCGGAGTAGGACAAGACCAAAACCAAATACTAGATTAGAACAATATGTAATTATACATAAGAATATTTTTTATATTGAACTTAGAGCTTATCTCAAAGTTTAAAAATAAAAAACTTAAGGTTCAATTTTGGAATTTCAGAATTTCAGCCCAAGCTCATTATGCCAAAAATGGCCCCGATCGCCAATCCATTTTAAATCATTTTTAGTCTGACTTTTTATCAGGCACACCTTCTCTCTACTCTATCCATGGATTATCTTTTATTATCAACACACAAAAGGGTATAGAACATTGTGGTTATAAAAAATTATTCAACTGCGTTTAAAGTACTACTTTACTCTGTATTCTAACTGTAACAAGCACCACGTTATCAGATAGTGTATTTTCCATTAGTTATAGTAGAATATAAGTACTATGGATTTGGTAATAATGTAGTCTCTTATTTTAAATAGACTAATGTAGAATGTTACACTTAAACTATAAAATACGTATTTACTCTGTTAAACAGGCACAAATCTTTTAAAAGAGTAAACGGAAAGAAATTCGTTGTTTACCAAGTTAATCCACAGGGTGAGGCGGAGAAATTTGACGAATTTCAAAACTAAATAACACTCACATTTATTAATAACTAGCTTTTCCCAGCGGCTTCGCTCGCAGAAATTAATACTGTTTCCCCATAAAATCATTTAACTCCCAATTCATCCTTACAACGTTTTAATTTTATGTACCTAATAGATTTTAAATACAAACGTAGCAACAACATTTCGTCCTTAAGGGTTGATTTTTTAAAAATTGCCAAAACACGTATTTGCTTAATTTCAACAATGAGCAACCTTCGAGTAAATCCGAGTACAAATAAAATATACCCCAAGGAAACGCTGCAATCTCTTTTTATTTGATTAATAATATCAAACAGCATATATACCAAGTTTCAAGTAAATTCAACCACAAATAAAGTATGTCCCAAACAAAAATTGCAACACCTTTTTACCCCCTCCCCCTTTGGAGGTTGAATTTTTTAAAATGTCGAGATAGGTCTTTCAGAAATTAAATGAGAGACCATTAAGACCAAACTTCAAGTAAATCTGACCACAAATTCCGCGGGAACGGGATTAAAAGTATCCTATGTCCGTCTCCTGGTTCTAAGGTACCTCCCCACTAATTTTCAGCCAAATCGGCTCTTTTATATATATAGATTTATCAAGTACTACATCCATGAGACGAGCTCCCTTTTGTTTCTTACATAGTCCTTCAGTCTTCATCGAAGATTTCCCCTGACTCTCCGAATCCTTTCATAAGGAATCACCGCAATTTCATTCGCAATGTGTTGTCATAAATAATTATTGAATGGTGACAATACGAGATGTGTACAGACTTTACTTTTAAGTACTTCTTGATCTTCGAATACAATGCAGGCAATGCTGGGCCAGCTGCATCAAACAGCTACGCGGAAATGTGCACCTACTCCAAAATTTCTGAGTAGGTACCACAACTCATTTGGAGATCATCTATGGATTCTGAATTGACAGATTTTGTGGAATCCCCTGACCCTCTTCTACCTATTTTGTCCTTAAGGTAATCGTGTGATAGCGAGATGGTTCAAATTCACTCATAGCGAGAGCAACAGTGAACGTCTTGCGCCAATAGTTTCCTCAATAAATAATTTCTCGATTTTTTATGGTGATAAATGTATAAGTATCTACATCTCGAAATGTCAATATTCAAGAGTTAAAACAGCACATTAGAAATAAAATTGCTAATGGTTCAGAGAGTAACAGGAAATCTTCGAAGGAAGACGAACACCATGGAAGAAACGAGGAAGCCCATCGTCTCACGGATGTACTATTCAGATGAACTTACCTTTATAATATAAACACCTTCCAACCCTTAAGTACATATCTAGATTCTTTGCTTCGTCATATCAAACTAATGATGATTATAAATATGAAATTCGTCAGGTTCCTCTGCCCCGCTCTGTACTTTGAATTTCCTAGAGGTAAGTATACAGGGTGTACTAAAACGTTACCAGAAAAATCATTCCAATAAATTTTGTATGAAATTCCAACACATGTTTCCACATTATTAATTACCTATTGATCAATTATTATGAGTTAATAATTAAAATGAAAAATAGTGCTATAGTGATTCCCTGCTGTTTGATAGTTGATTATCCGATAAAATTCTACTAAAACTATAGTCTGTCCCATCATGCGCACATGGGCAGATTACGTACAATTGCATATTCGAACATTGTTATTTTATTACACCCTGTATATTGTAGTTGTTTGTAGACATAGAAGAATTCCGAATTATCATATCTACTACTTACCATAAAGCTTTAAATATTCAACAATAAATAAAGTTATTTGTCATCAATAAAGGTATTAATTAAATTATTATAAAAATACATTCATTCACCTTTTTAACCACTAATAGTTTCATAAGTATCAAAACAGTAGCATTATATCTTATCAACTTTTCTGTTCTAAGAATTACCTGTTACATTTTCACATTTAACGCCATTGAAGCACAGACTAAGTAGGTGCCTAGGCTTTTTGAATTTTTGAAGAAAAAGAAAACCTTAGGTAAATCGTCGCAAAATTAAAATCGACTTTTTAATGATACCAACCATCGATTTCTCGTATTCTCTTCTTATTTTCCTAAAAAGCCTTTCATTTGTTTGTTTTGATGCCGTAGTCCAATTTCGCAATTCTCTGCTTTCGTTACAAGGCTATCGAGCTTATCAACGTGATTATCAAGAGCTCTGGATAGGTCGGTGTCCAAATGGGACGCTACAACTTCTTCCTTGTCATTTTCAAACCCCTTATTTTCAAACTGAGTTGTACCCTTATCGTTAACTAATTTTATTTCTTGAGTGTGAAGGTGTTCGTTAGAGGAATCGTTGGGATGCTGAGATATCATTTGGGGATCATCTGTCGATTCTGAATTGGCAGATTTTGTGGAAGCCCCTGACCCTCTTCTTCCTATTTTGTCCTTAAGGTAATCGGTAATTGAGCCATACGACACCTTAAAATAATTTTTCTGTAGGTGTATGACAATTACATATTACCATAACGTATTAAAATAAAAAGGTTGATGAGACTAACGATGAAGGCATAGTATTTTAAAATAACTTTGGAATGATATTAAAGTGGGTCTTAACAACGTAGAAAATTGTAAGAAACGAGTAAACTAAACATGAAGTATGATTTAGTGTTTCCAAATAGATAGGGTTGAGGAAGATTTGTACTTATTTTAATCGACTTATTAATTAAGGTGTGATACGTTACAAGATTACCGTTTATGTGCCCTTTCATAACCTATAATTGCTTCAGCCGTTTCTTTTAAGTTTAACAAGTTATGAATTGTTTAAGAATTTCGACAAAAAATACATTAAAACAAGACAAAAAGGTTTTTTATATATCAAACTATCTTTTCGTAGTACTCTTCAATTTCGTCATTGGGAGTGCAAAACTCCTTTTCGATTTAATGATGTAATAATTGCAGAGAACGAAGGAAAAATTAGAAGAAGTCAGTAATTTTCGGTATCTAGGAACCCAGATAATTCAGGACAGATGGAGCAGTTAAACAAAGGATAGCTTAGTGTCAAGTCGCATTTAATAAAAAGAAACATGGACGATGAGTGCGGTGGAAAAGGAAATGTTAACAAGTGTTGGTGTTACAGGCGAACGATGAGGATACTGTGAATAGAGAAGGTTAGAAATGAGGACGTACAGTTGAGACGATCAAAATTGGTATAGTCTGCAATGAATTATCTGTAAGAATGAACGTATCTTCGTTCTTGTTTCCACTTGGGACTACAGTAATTTGCTGCGTTTCGAAGACGCATTTGTTAAGTTAGGAAATGCTTCATGAGTAGTGCAGACAAAGTCAAATGAAATAACCGAATAATAGTAAGCGGTGCAGCGGATAGAAGTTAGCTTAGGTACGCAAAAGATCAGGATCGACTTTATAAATGCCTGGTTGGAATTATATCTTTAAACACGTGTCTTTGCGTTTCTAAATTCTTGAGAACGTTGAAGTCCGATACTGACAACATGCTCAAATTCTGCATGTCCCAATCTCTTTCTGTTGGGGACTTTGCCAATTTTGAATGTTCTAACTATATCAGAAAGAGTAGGAGAACAGAAGGCGCTATTGAAGTCAATAAGAAAAAGGCAAGATGGGTTGGTTAGGATACCTTCTCAAGCAGTAAGGGCTAATTAGAGAAATTTTTTGTAACCCCATTAGAAGCAGAAACAGGAAGGGCAGGGTAGAAAACAGTGGAAGTGCATGTGCAAGCAGTCTTAGGGCTGACGACCTATAATGATTATGAGAGACTGGGGGTAACTTAAATCAACCAAACCTAGCTTTCAAGGAGTTTTTGAAAGTTAGGTTATGGTTAGTTCACATTGCCTTCATTTAAAAATGAATAAAGATGTTAGGAAAAAAATTTTGATAATTAAAAAAATATTTTATATTAATGCATTTTTATCAAAGTTCCTAAACAAATAATAACATATTAAAGCTGAAATATATAGATGGGGGCAATTTTATATTTGCAAAGGGCATTTAAACTATCACACCTTCTCAATTAAAAAATCGATTCCGGTCATGTGGTGAAAATGCTAACTTTATTTAATTATTTACTCCTCGAAAGTCTTCTTTTATCTGTTTATCTTACAGTTCTTTAGACTTTTTTTTTGACAGTAAATTCAATCTTTAACGTTTTTGTTTAAATTGACATTAAAGAATGAATGCCATGAATTAACTCGAGCATGTTATTTGCTCTATACAGTTATCGTAATACAGCAGATATATATAACCTTGCATGATATTATAAGGACAGATAAACTTTTTCAGATTATCGTGCCTGACATATCTTGTTTTTACGAAAGATTTGACTGTTGGCTTAATGTTAAAATATATTTTTAAGTTGTTTTGAATTATTATTATTACCAGAAATAAAAGGACGTAAAATGATGCACTCGAAAGTACCGCAAAGTGCACCCAATAACCTAACAATTTCCTTCCTAAATAATTTTTTAATCAATAATTTTCTAATTATAGTATAATGGATTTCGGGAACTTCAAAAATATGTGTCATGTGTCAAAGTCAAACAAAATAAAAAATGAAACGTTTTCAGAGCTGGGCTAAACTCTCACCGAAACAATTCCAAGCCCAAAGTCCTTGAAATCCCAATTACATTTTAAAATTTAAGGACTTCCAAATACCAATTATTTCGCAAACAATTAGATTCAAATCCCTGAGGACTTTTAAAGAGCTTGAAACCCTTTCAATTACAAAAAGTCCCAACTACTTGCTTATGAAAGGGCTTCATTTACAGTTCTTCCAATCCCTGAAAGAATTGGAAATGCACCTTTAATCACAATGCCCTAATGGTGACCTGACCAGCTCTGAATCCTGTCATATATCACAGTTTTGAACATAATATTGATCTTTAAAGGATTGTTTTGTGTCGCCTTTCAGTGAGAACCTTAGAGATTTCTTTAAAGCCTGACAAATAACACAGTCGACACATATTCTGCTGTATTCCGACTTCAAGTCTTTAATTTGAAAGCTAACTTAATCGAGAACATCATGAAGTGGCGTAAGAGCTATCTGCACAAAAAGATTGTTTCAGTATATCTATTATGGTTCCTATTGACAGAAATCAGTAAAAAATTGAAGGAACCATGAAATTTTTAATACAGATATTATTTCTTCAAAGCTGGGTTATAATTGAGAAAGATCAAGATGGATGACTTTACCAAACATAACCTACTGTTCAAGATATGTATAACAGGAATTATTGCAAGTAAAACCAGTTTATCTTGCCTAATTAAACTTCTGAAATCAAGACGTTTAGGTTTTTGGTCAGAACTGCGAGTCGCGGATCTTTTTAGATTTCTTTAGCGCGCCATGCGCAATCTTCATATATCGTCACTGACCAAACCTAATAGTGATGAGCAAAATTGGTCTTGGTTTTGTAAAGCTAAGACCAAGACCGAACGAATAAGACCAAGACTAAAACCAAGACCGAATATGCAAGATTAAGACCAAATATGTAACACCAAACGAAAAATTATTATTCCAGTAAAGAGCATAGGACGATAAGCATAGTGAATCGGCCTCAGAGGTATATCTGGATTATTTTTTGAGGGTATAGTGGTACTAATCAGGTACGTTAATCCTGAAAATTTTAGACCTCTATCTATTTTGGTTTTTGAATAAATCCAAAAAAGCGAAAAATCAGAAGAGAAAAAAATATTTTCGGAAAAAATCGCCTGTTTTTAATAATTATAATAAAGACCATGAGCTATTATTTTTTTCGAGTAAAGCCCTTATATGTTTCTATAACGTGTATAAATTTCATTCAAATCGGTTAAGCCAATTTTGAGAAAAAAAATATTTTCTGATTTTTCACTTTTCGGATTTATTCAAAAACGAAAATAGATAGAGATCTAAAATTTTCAGGATTAACGTATCTCATTAGTACCAATATAACCTCAAAAAAAATCCAAATATCCCTCTGGTGTCGATTCACTATGCTTATCGTCCTTTATGAGTAACACTAATATTTGAAGCAAATTTTCAGTTTGCTTGGGTGTATTTTAACACTAAATATACAAAAAGAAACTACCACTGTTTGAAAAAATGGATTTACAAGAATTTCCTCGGAATAACTGTTCTTTGTTTCTACCTTTTGGTAACACACGGTTAAAATAATAGACAAACTAATCTTTTTTCGATATTTGTACTTCTTTCGAATACCCTGCACCATTTCTTCTGCCAAAATTTCAAATTATGCATTGGAAGAACGATAAGTTCTTAAATTTTTATGAAAAAAAAAAAAATTTCTGCTTAATAGAATTATTGCAAGTATCAGACCAAAACCAAGACCAATACCGTGACTATATTAACAGTACCAAGACCAAGATCAAGATTAGAAATATTTGGGTAAGAACAAGACCAAGACTAGAAGTATTTCAGGAAGACCAGCACAAAGACCAAATAAACAAGACCAAGAACAATACCAAGACCGAGACAGTCTTGATCTTAATCTTACTTTGCTCATCATTGAAATCGAAGAAATTTTTTGAAAACTTCCTCTTTAGGAGTCTCTTTGGGACTGCCTATGGCGCATTGATGGAAAGATCTGCAAAGATCGAAATGGCGATCTGCATTTCACAGTTTCGACAAATATCCGACCAAGAAATTAAATGTTCTTATTAATTGATTGTGCGTGCCTGCTACTTATGACAGCTGCATCATCGATTCAATTGGATAAATCGAAATACCTTAAGGATGTTTGGGAGGTATGTCAAAATGCTACGAGACAAATAAAAATTTGGAAGAACGTTCCTCATTCAATTCTAAAACTCCTGTAAAAATTACAAATCGATTCACTAAACCGTTAAAAAGTTATTGAAATTTTAAAAAATTGTAATTTTACACGTCATTTTATGGAGATTCGTTAACCGAACAGATTAAATTTATTTTTATTAACAGAAAAAAAGCTACCAGAAATTTCAAACTTTTATAATAAGTAACTTGAACTCTGGAGAATCACTTTAGCGTAAGGTTATTCAAATTCACTAAATGGTTATCGAGGAAAAAATGAAAAATTAGCTGAAAATCTCGTTTTTACTTGATAATATAATGATAATATTTATAATTGTCTGAAATAAATGCAATTTTAAAGTTTTAATTATTATTTAAACATATTAAAAAGTTTTACGCTCATTATTAATAGAGATTGAAACTAAATATTTTTTTGTTTCGAAGTTGAAATCAAGGCATATTCACTGCCAAAAGTCAGTTAAAAATTTTCCATATTATTCGTTATTTCTTATTTTACTCAAAGTTTTTGGTCAAATTCCATATTTTCACTCAAACCGTATATTTTTTTTTTTTAGTATAGATACTATTTATTTACCTGATGATATGCTGCAAAACCTAATTAATCACGAATTTCTAATTTTATGTACTTTTGTCTCCGATTGTACCTCCCGAACATCCTTAATAAAATCTTGTCTAACACAAGGAATATGTGTTTCAGTAGCAGCTAATACACACCACATAGTGTGAACTGCATAGAATGATGATTTAAACTATACAAGGAAGGCATACCTTAAAGTTGGTAATACGTTTTTGTGTACTTCTTAATATACTGCTTAGTTCTTCCAACCCTCCACTTACACCCTTCAAGGCTTCATTTTCACTTTCTATTTCCTAAAAATATTACGAGATTATTCATTCTAATTTGTTTGGTCATTTAATTTTATCGCCATTGTTAAGCTGAATTTGTTTTATTTTAATATCATCACATGTTTTGTGATTTGTTGACCATTAGGTCTAACATCGAAATTAAAGAAACTTTTCTAAAGCTTCTTTGGATTTCATTGTTTCAGAGAAACTGTAAAGACAATTCTCTTTTTTTTTTATTTTAATTTTCTGATGCAAAATCGAGATGAAATTTTGCAATTTTTTCTGTAGCTTGTTCAAAAGAAAACGCCACGTTAAATCAAAGACCCAATGAAAAATAGTAACTGTAAAGTCAATTTAAATAAATATATTTCGAAAATTGAAATAGTTAAATCTTTATGTTTTCTGTCTATTCCAAAATTGACAATTTACCTTCAGATGTTCGGTTTCTAAAGCAATTTCCTCGGCAGCTTTTTTAGCATCGTATTCTTTACAAAATTCTTGGAAATCGGGTTTGTCCAAACCGAGAAGTTCTGCTCTGTTGCACTCAAATTCGTATGCCGTCTCAACCATTTCTTTTTTAAAAATGTTGAAGCACTGGCAAAATTGACATTTGTTGAATAATTCTGAGGAACCTAAATTTTTGTTTTCACATGTCTAAACTTTTCAATTCAGCGCCTGCGTCTCGGTATTGATCGTCTCAATAACTTGGAACCGATTTCAATTTCACGTAAGCTTTAGGCACTTTTCCAATATTAATTAATATTGAACATTGATAATTATTAGTTTATTTAGGCCACAAAAAGACCCTGTATTAAACCCAATGGGTTCTTAAAAAACGCAATGTAGCATTTTTTAGTTTTCTATAGCTAAAGCAAATCCTAAATTACTTCCTGCGTTAAGCTCAACAGTTAAACTGCATCCAATATTCACCTATTTTGCTTTAAGCTTTTGTGAATGTAAGTATAATAACTAATAGGCAAAGGAATATTATATTTTTTTTAGTAATCTCTCATTTACATTTGAACATCGTTTGGCTTTAAATATGTAAAAAACATAAAATTCAAATAAACGTATTAAAATTACATCACGAAGCTGCTCTCTATCGGCGACTATTCACAACGACCTCATGACCAATGCTATCTACTTTTGAAGTAGCGAGGCTTTAACAGCTCAGTATAGATGGAACTTGCGACAGAATAAACTGAAATATACAAGGTTTACCTCTATTATACTCTGATTGATCAGCTTGAAAATAAAGTTCTCTCCCAGAAATAAAATAAGTTTAAATTAATAGATCACAAAACACATTGCCATCTTCTATCTAATACGAAAGAAGTAGGAAAATATATTTGCATCCAACTGTCCAATTTGTTTCCAGTACATTGTAATTGTATAGCAATTTTGGTTATTCCAATAACACCTTTGAGTTATACATATACAGATTGTAGTGCAATACATTATTCCCTAATTTAAAAATAAACAAATTTTACATGCTTTAAATCTATTTATGTTGGCACACCCTGATAAGAGTAGTGACAGATCTGTCATAAAAATTTTCAGTTGTTAAAAGGTGTGACTGTTGACAGTATTGTTCATTTTAATTCAACACTCTTGCCAATCTTGTGGCGATTACAAATTACAATTAGCAATAATGAAGGGAGGGTCTTCGCCCGCATCAATGATCTTCACAGGGTTAGGGTTTGCTGCTATCGGATTTGCTGGACGTTATGTTCTTAGACGAATGCCACATTTAGAAAATGAGGTAAGACATCTGATCAAACATTTTCGTTTGTTGGATCCGGATATGTTTGATGGCAACTGCCCAAGAGGATCATCGTACACAGATAAGTACTCCCAATATTACAAAGGAGGATTTGAATCGAAGATGAACTTAAAGGAAGCAGCTCTGATCCTTGGCGTGGAACCTACTGCTAAGAAGAACACAATTAGGGCGGCGTTTTTGCGACTTATTACTCTTAATCATCCCGATCGAGGAGGATCGCCTTACATAGCGTCCAAAATTAATGAAGCAAAAGATTTTTTGGAGGAAAGGCTGCCACCCGGAAGAAAATGAGATTACATATGCTTCTAAATGTTAGCAATTACCTGTAGATACCGATATCACTTTTATAAATAAAATGTAATCCTATTTCCCGTTCCACAATACTCCTACAATGAAACGTAAGGAAGTTTCTATTGAAAGCTGTGACTATTTTTAAGACCTCTTCAAAAATCGCGAAGTAAACGGAAGAAGGTAAATTACCAAAGACAACCATTTGTTTTTTGAGGAAGTGAGTTACAAGTCAGTTTTGTAAATATTTGAGACAAAATAACAGGAAGTAGTTTTAGCTTTCTTCTAGAAAGATCACTTAAACACCTACGGACATGTGTTTCGGAAATTTTTAACAATATCTATAACCTCTGACTTCTCTTTGAAAAAGCACAATTCCGTTCCTTCGTTATACATATATATGTGTCCTGTGCCTATTAACCCTTGTTTTGACGAAAGGGTCATGAAATCATTTGGGTTTTCATTAGTATAATTGTTTAATCTGTGTGCATTTGGAAGAGTTCATTGCATCGACTGTCATTCTAGATATAGGTGGGGATTTATGGATTGATAATCCAGATTAGACTCACGATGAGTTATATTACAGTTTCATGGAGTATTTCCATGAAACTGGATCGCTTCTTTACTGATTTTTCTGTCCTCTATTTTCATGCGAGAAGCAAAGAGCATTAGCACTTTCTGTCAACATGTTATTTGGCGATGTTATTATCGTTGCTTCGTCACCACGAAAGTATTAATGTTTATCTCTTATATTAACTTACGCTCATTCAGTCCATCCTAGAAAAAAATTGTAATGGAATAACCAAAAGGAGAACAAGATATTTTCAACTTATTGAGTTGCCATAGTGGTAACAGTTTTATTGGAGAATGATTCCTTGCGTATGCATTGATTTCATAGAGAGGGTTGTTGTTTATCGCAGAACGTGTGGAAAAGGTAGCAAATTTCTTCTTTGCCCCTCAGTAACTTACTGATGACTTCATCTTCGTAAATTGACCCACGTATACTCATCGTATTTTCTGTTCGCAATTCTGTTGCTGGATTGAAATCCATTAACGAAATCGCAATTGTCTCTTATTAAGATGATAGGATTTTGCCAGTTTCCACATGGTCTCCACTCTAGTCGAATGAAGATATACGGGCATTGGGAAGAAACTGCGATACCCCCAAGGAGTTTGCCGGCCTCATCTTAGGATCGGAAAGCAATTCATACCCAGGAGTGAAAATTGTACTTTCTTCACTTGTCACGTAATTGTATATTACTATTCTTGGTAGAAATAGAAAAGGACAATTTTATAGTTGAGCGCTTGTTTGATGTATATGTCCTGATAGGATCAAGATTTTCAAATAGTTTGCTTTGCGACAATGGCCAATTTTCACGATGGTTGGGATGAATGTTACAATTGGCAGAAAAGTAACTTACTATTCGATATCTCCTAGTCAAATAATGTCACGTTGTCTAATCGGTGTTCTAGTGGTCAATTCTCTCACTCAGCATAGAGTGAAAACCCGTGTAAAAATTTACATGTAATAACCACACTATTTGAAGCACCTGGACAGCATTTGATCGGATACAATCGAATCCGATTATTGTATGGTATTAGTGTTCCAAAATTTCACATTCCAGATTTCCAGAAAAGACTAAACTAAACCAGAAATCACGACTCCTTGGTGACTCCACGGATTCCTAGTTCGTTTTCGGAATTTTTCGAGTGCGCCGTGTATACGTACAAAAAGCGTCGTAGTATTATGGTCGACCTGGCGGCGGTGGCCGATCCCACCAAGTTCTTTCATGTCCCCATGGCCTCGAAGACATTCTCCAGCACCAACCGCGTCCGCGGCGGCAGCATTCTACCTGCCGCCCGCAGTTACCTGAGTCGAGAATCGTCAGTGACGTGGTGCAAAACTGTCTTGTCCACTTGGTTACATACCAATCGTCGTCGTGGTGGTTTCCATACACATCGATCCCGACTCGGAAACCGCACCGTTATCCCTGTGGATTACCTCCGATCCCGTATCGTTTTTCTTTCCGTTTGACCGGATTCGGGCGATCGGTATTACCGGAAACACGCACTTTTCGAGTTTTCTTACCGTTTTGCGCTGTTGCCGCATCTAAAGTGCAAAGTCTCGGTTGGAATTTAGGTGTGGAAGTGTTACAGCCAAGTGCCAACGCGGTTTCCACGAAGAAAATTATTGCGGAATAACCGATAAAGCCGATATCTCTGGTTGATTTTCGGTAAGTGGTAAATATTCTAAATTAGCTTTTTTATACCAGTTGATTATAGTAATTGTATATAGGAATAATATGGACGATGATGCGACGAAATTCAATAATTGTTCAAAAAATCCTTTTCGGAATCTAAAAAGTGCGTTCAAAACACCACCGGTGACACTAGGTAAATTTGTCAAATAGGATCAAGACGCATTCTTGTTAAAATTTGGACACCAAAGCTTCTGCATAACTGGAATAGTTGTTGATATCTAAAAGTAATTATATTTGATTCTATAATCTTTTACTTTATCTTCAAACGACTTCACACTGGTCGCTAATTCCTCTTTCGACACCCTTAATACCTACTAATCACCTGTTGACAATAATTTCGTTATTTCAACTGTAAATGCAATTATAGCATTAAATTACAAAATGGGTTTCGAAGTTAATTATAACGTATCCCTCATCAATGATTATGATACTGTTCCCATACTTTTTGAAATCCGAATTTGTACAGGGGGTTAATATTAATTGTACTTAAGTTCTTATGTTTGAAACAATTTTAGACGACACGTAGTTAAATGAAAGAGATTAGCCGTCTTCTTCCCTAGCAAACGTTTTCAGGTGCAATAAATTCTTATTATTATTACTATCTTTGGTCACTTATTATTAACCTCATGTATACGTGTACCTGTTTGACCCTAATAAATATTACAGTGTACCGGATTTAAGTCTGATTCTACACCTGAATCGTACCGGATGTCACGGATGAAAAAGTTGTGAGGGGTTGAGAACCCATAGAGACATGTGAGTCACACAACATACCTAATACCTTCTTCAATAGTAGTAAAATATTCTCGTTTTCCTTCATTCGTCACAGTTTCGTTATGTCCACCCGTTCATCCTGTTCATCCTTTTCAGATCTTCGCAGCGTTTACATTTATAAAACCGATCAGAAAATGAGTGAAGTTTTCAATAGAAGCGCATATAAAAAAGAAAGAACATTTAAAAATTAGGTACATATTAAATTCCTTCTTCGAAACACATCCCTAGTTGTTTAACATTTGTTCCAGATGGATACCTATCCGGCATTCTTGCCCGGAAAAATTCCTAAAGGTAATTTTACACCCTATGTGAAACCTGATCTTCTTTAAAATTAAAGGGCCAGTTCCGAAATCATTCAATTGGGATTTTTACCTGCCAAATATCGCATACTAACTGGGGTCCCCTTTAACTCACTTTTCAGTTGGTCACCGTGGTCAAGTTGACCATACTGCTAGAAACACAGTTTAATTTTGCTTATAGGTATTTAAGGAAATAACACATTTATACATAGAGGGTCAAAATAAATTAATAATACCCCCAATATATGTATTAAGCGAAGAATACTTTTGCTTGATTGTTTAGGATCATAAGGTTATAGTAGGAATAGGTAACGAGAATGAAGTCTTGTTCTTTTGGCTTCGGAATCGTTCAGTTGAGCACTTTTGGGTGCCCAATTAAGATATATTGCTGCATGTAGGTATGCATATATACCACGTTCCCCCGAAAGTATAACCTACCCCGAAATTAAGTCTCACCATGATTGTAAAGGATGATTTTAGTATTAATATATACGCCAAAAAAACTTCGCATCGGCGTTTTATGGAACTTGAAAGAAATTAGTGTATATTCGGTCTTTATAGTTGTTGTTAATGTTGTGAATATATTTTGCAGGTACTATTATTAGAGAGACTGTACCATTAGTTATGATACCTGGTTATTATTAGGTTACAATAGTTGTAAAATTTGTACAAATTTCATTACCAGTATCATGAAACTGAATTTTTAGATACTTTCGGATTTTTTCCATTAGTTGGCAAAAATAGTCATAGTCATAATAAACCTTTGCAGACAAACGCTAGTTCGATATCGTCAAATTGTAGACAGTACGTTTAAATAAACATTCAATTGAAAGTGGTTAATGTTAAATATTACTTCGAAAAATCATTCTTAATTTCTTTTCGACTAAAAATTATCTCAATTTAATGAGAAAAGAAATTGAGAATAAATTTTGGAATTAATATTCAAATGAAAATGTGAGGTTATATTACTATTTTCATTATTTAAATATTGAATCGATGAAGCTTTCAAGTAATGTAACTCCATATTTCTCCACTTGAGATATATGATATCTGATATATCTTCACCACCTGAAGAAGGCACAGTGTGTGGAAATAATTATAGTGGTTATAATAAATTATTTGTAAATTCCAAGTGTGTTTCATTTTATTTTTCGTCTAATTAAATTATGTGTGTGTTCGCTTAGCTTTTACCCTAATTCTTTGCAGTAAATGCTGTTGCTATGACCTGTTCAAGTTTTTTTTTCCAAAAAATTGGCATATGTTTGTCAATTAACACCGAGGTTCAAACACTTTTTACAGTCATATCCATTTTCAAATTAAAGCTTACAGTATATACCTAGATATTTAAAATTCCTTCTAAAAATGCCTTAAGAGCTTTTCAAAAAATCGAATTTAACTGAAAACCTATTAACTAATTCCAAAAAATATAGAAAATAAATCTTCAATCAAATTTATGCTAAAAGCTCATGAATACATACTAGTTAATAGAAGATCATTCCAAAATTATAATTTTTCAATAAGATACATAATTATCTAAATGACAAATATTAGTTGTTATTTACTTGTTAGAGAATACAAAATTTAATAAGAACTAGGTAATGGTTAATTAGACAAACTATTGGTTTACTCGTTAGAAATTAATACTTACACCATAGAAAAGGGATATTAGTGCCCATTTCTTTAAAAAAGTAAGAGTATTTTCAAACATATCGGAAACAGAAGATTATGATAATATAAATACGCAAAAAACACCAAGTATAGTCTTAAATATTTGGCCATGAACCTTACCCCGTAATTTCTAATTACGACTTGCGTGAATCAAATGATAAAATTAGTAAGTACATAATTAAGATCATGATGACTGCATTTATAGATGTTATACACATACATACATAGGTAAAATAAACATTTGGTAAGAGAAATTTTAGATCTAGACGGCGACTCGTAAGCTCACTCAGTGGGTTAAATTTCGTAATCCCCTCTCCACCTGCGAGTCCACTAAAAACAGTTATTTCCTTGAATGCACTTGACAAGATTTCAAGATCGTCCACCGGCAGACCGCAGCAGTTAAAATCTTATCTTTTTGACCTCATAGAGCGTCTGCTTGTTCGTCGATGGCGATGTTCGTGTTGAGGAGTATCGAACAGCATATACGCTCTATTTCCTCCTGACAATGTGTAGGCAATGTAAGCGATCCGTCGGTTTTCTTTTGTGTCTTCTTTTGCAAGANCCTTGTATATATTGCCAATATTGGATAAATATTACAAATCAATATAAATAAAAGTTATTGTCAAATATCTTTTATTAATATTGGATAAATATCGGATAAACATTGTATTAAAATATAGGAAAACAGTATATGTCCTATATATTACCAATATTGGCTATAAATTGCCAATATTGGGCCCATATACAATATTGTACCAATATAGAATAAATATTGGGCCAATGTCGTGTGCTACTGGGGGACCTCGTGAATGCTAAGCACTGATCTACTCCAGGCCTTGACGTTTGGTCATTCAAAGGATTTTGCTCACTATTAATGTCAGATCACACTGACCGATATCGATATATTTAGAGTGGACTACACAACTGCACAGTTTAAGTGAAGACAAACGTTTTTGTCATATTCTTTGGTTCACACAGGGGGCAAGCAGCGGAATATGCTATTAAACGTGTTGCCAATATGTAAAACCTAATAAAAAACAAGACACCTACTATTTTATTAGTTCAATTTTCAGTTTCGAGAATTCTGAAAATTATGCATTTTTGTGAGTGATCTCTACATTTACATTTCTATGCTGGAGAAGGTATGACTCCTCCAGTGTTTGGGTGTCATTATAATCAATGGGACGATATTCCGCCTCGAAGAAATACATAGCATATTAAATAAACTTTCACTGGGAGCACTGTGAAAACACGAAGCGTCGTAGCCTTTAGACAATTGCTTTGCATTCAGGAGGACACCGGTTGGATTCCGAGTCCATCTGCCCTGGTCAAAAGGTCTCTATGGTTTTCTTGAACTACTTAGGAAAATGCTGTTGCTCTCCTGTCTTCATTTCGTCCGTCTTATCATTCTCACCACTCACCCAGTCCCACGATTCCTAAATACAGACTGAAGTGGTCTTTCCGCTCTCCCCTCCTACCTAGTCCAGACGGACTGCCCCCCCTCTACAATATTACCTAGTATCTTTAAAGATTTTTTGCACTGCGAACCTTTATCATTTTTTTGCAAAGTCAACTTCAGAGATGATGCCAATGTTTCTAAAATACAATGGAGACTGAATACTATCATCAAAATTATTCTACATCAAGGTTTGACCTGGAGCTGCAGTCTAATAAATGTAATTTAAAGGTTTTGATGGTTTTTAGGTTTTGTTTGAAAGATTTTGAGAGTTTGGACAGTTTAGGCTAGTTCGCAAAGAAGTTGTAACTCTATTAACTATTACAGTCAACTTGTTAAAGAAGAAAGTACAAATTTGTAATTTCAACATTCGGTGAACATTTTGCCTGACCTGTAGGTACATCAAAGTATTTATGGTTAGATTAACATTCCATTCCAATAATAAAAACATGTTTACTCTGCCATTTGTTGTTGACGACTTTAGCAAAGATTTAAAATTCACTACAAAGCACGAATACCTTCTTGGTAAGATAATCGAATAGATAATTATTAAAAATTACGTCATTGCAATTATCGTATATTTGGAATATGATGGTACAATATGAGTCATCTTTTAATTATTATCGATACATGAGCTAACAATGAGCATGAATCTTCTTATTTAGAAAAGGAAGACTTGTTTCCAAGGCTGACAAGACCGTAGAAAATAAATAGTTAAAATATAAATAATAAAAAAAGATGTAAAACCAATAAAAATTCAATATAAAAATTTTAAAACAAACCTAACAAAGACAAAATTATTAATAAAATATCAAAATCCGAAGTTAATTTGTTCGTTGAATGGTAGTAATTGGAATCAAGTTTATATGAGACAAATTGGCAGACCCTTCAAGCAAAGGTTAGCAGAACACAACTGATGTTATTTTAATGAAAGGTAGAAACCATACATGTAGGTACCTACCTAAAATCCTAAAATTGAATTTAAAGGAAAGTTTGTACACTAATCATTAATAAAATTATGTTTGATTTTAATAATTCCCCAGTTTTAAATTCGTTTTCAATTATTTAACGTTCCCCACTATCTTAATATTTATGAAAGTTTTATAATTATGTTATCCTTGTTTATCTCACACCTGAAGGAAGCAGTGTTTGGTGAAACTGCTGTAGTCGTAGATTATATTGGTTAATTATTAAAAAAGAGTTTGAAGCTTTTGTGTTTTTCTTTTTAAATTGATTTTGAAATTTTTATTTCAATTTTGTTACCACATTTGAAGGTAGATACTTGGCGATTTGAACATTTTTGAGAATTTTCAAGAAGGACCTTAAAGAGCAGTTTAAAAAGATTAATGTCGACTATAATAATACTTGACAGAAGTTAGGTTAGAATTAGCTCATATTACGGTCCAGGAGCCGTTGATATCACAATGTAGAAAATCACAGCTACAATATGAGTCCAGTGTAACGAGGTTATCTTGTCAGGAGTATTTTTAATTAAGTCAGTTATAATTAAAAAACAATAATCTTCTTAAAACTGCCGCAAATAGGTGTCGTATTTTCCG